AGCCCAATGTCTTTCACCTTCCTCACATTATCTACCACCTCTGGAGGCATGAGGATTGACTGGTCTAGGTCAAGCAGCTCACCACTTTTCTCCATAAAGGGGTTTCCCAGCTGCTCAAATGCATCCACCAGATTCAGCACATCAGACTGGAAAAAAAGAAAGCTATGCAGCCCATGAGATCCATTCACCAGCTTCAAGGTTCTGTTTGGGTAGAAGGCTTCTGACTCGCTCCAGCCACACATAGCCTTCTTCAATGATACTGGTAACAGAGCGTGAAGCTGGACAAGGATGACTGTTGGTCCTCAGGGCAGGAACGTGCAACACTTCATCATTTGACAGTGAGACATCCAGATCCATGGTCGTGTAGCTAGCTGGCAAAGACCTCACAACCTTTCTCCCCATCTCAGTTGGAATGAGGATGTCTGTAAAATTTTCAACTTTTTGTTTGTCTGAAGAGAAGTGCTGGTGAATGCTGATGCATGTTCCATAGAGAGCTAATTTTGCTGTTGTAGAGGATGGGCTGTAGTCAATATTGTCAAAGCCACCTGTAGTGAAGACATGCTTGACAGCCTGAGGAGGCACTATACCACACCAACCGGCCTGCTCGCAGTGACCAATGACTGAATTTGCAATGGCTGTACTCAGTACTCTGAAACGGTCATAAGAGATGCAGTCCTCTTTGATGCATAACATCAATTAGAGATTCACGGCCAGATTGAAGATGTACTTTCATAGCCATATGAAGCGAAGTTGGTGTTTCCCTCTCCCTGATGTGACGTGAAACACTCCCATGCAGGTTTCTTCGATCTGCATCCAACAGAGTTGAATATGATCTGCTGTCCTATGGATGTTGCAACTTTGGACTTCTCTGATTCAGGAGGTGGCTGATCAATACCCGGTCCATCAAGAATCTTTGTAACAAGCTAAAAGTCTTTCCGGATTATTTCGTAATTTTACTGATGATGAAGGATTCATAGTTGGCTTATGACCTTCACCTGATTGGCATATGAAGCATAATCTCCAGTCACGATTTTCAACCATGCTTTTAGTGTTCATTATTGACTAACCTAAAGACAACAACAGAAATTTGACATGTTTGCAGTAGCTGGGTTTCGTGTAGTGGTGTAGGGTGTAGGGTGTAGTGGTGTAGGGGTGTAGTGGTGTAGTAAGACCTACTAGTCTTACCTTCAAGGAGAGTTCCGCAGCGATCGATCGAACATGCATTGTCTAGA